TTACTATCTTTAGGATAGTAACATTTGTTTTGCATATTACTTGTAAGGGTGCAATATTGATATTCTTCTTAGTAGAGAATGTGTTTCTGTACTTCATTGAAATTGGTGCTGTTGTATCTGACTCATGCCAATATATGCCTCGATAGGTGTCTGGTGAGGCCAACATAGATTAGCTGCCACCTGAATTAGTTAGAATGCCTAGGTTCTTTTAGTATTTAGATGTTGCATGAGATGGTAAATGCTTCTTGCCAACAGGTTTACTCATTGGCAGGTCCAAAAGCTATAATGGTAGATATGAAAGAAGATCCTTACTTCACATAGTACTATATACTATATGCTTATTAGATTAGTAGATGATTATCGGTTCGATTGAGCTTCTTAATGCTTAGACATGATCAGCTTTATTTGTTGTTTATATACGTTGTAGACATGATACAGGATATTATCTTCCCATACATCAAGTGCAGACCTTTTTTAATAAGTTTCTTGGAAACCACATTAATAGAATTTTTATTAGAGGTGTTGTATGAAATGTTAAAATGATTCTTGCCAACAGGTTTGCTTAATGGAAGTTCCTGAAGCTATAACGTTACGCGTAAAAGAAGTTAATAACTTCACATGGCCCCATCAATATGAACATTACATTAATAGACGGTTATTGACTAAGATGGGCTTCTTAATAGATATGGTCTACTTTATTTATTGTTTATACATGCCGAAACCTAAAAAACCAAGCGATGTATTAAATTTTAACAACTTTAAAAAGTCAATGACAAACTTTTGCCATATTAATCCATGTCTCGGAAACACCTATATCAAGCTTTCATGTAAAGCATTGGAAATGGCTTAGAGAGAAATATTGATATCCTATCTTTTATGCCTAAGGTTGTTGCCAGTGGAGACTTGCACTGGGAGGCTCTTCTGAAAGCTAATTTTGAAGCTGCTCCTCAAAGTATACCCATAATTGCACTTTCTTTTGTTTATCAGGTAAAAGCATTTTCCAATCAATTCATATAGTCACCCCGGGATTGTGCATCTAAGATATTCGGTTGCTTTTTGTTCTCAGAATGTTGTACCTGTTCTCTGTACAAATCTTGAAGGGGACCTGTCAAAAGTCAGGTGATTATCGCTATTTTGCTGCATATATTAGCCATACCTTACGAACATATAAAATTTGGTCACCTTCCTTTATAGAGGCTGTTTCACTCGGTTCATCTTTGCTTTATATAACGTCTTATCAATATTTCAGGTAGTATTATATAGTTGGCTATTGCTATGTTCAAAATAAATTAAATTGTTATGGATGCAGGAGTGTTATAGTTTTCGGGACAGCAATTCCACTTGCTCTGTTTCTTGTTTGGGATGGTGTCATTTTGGGAACAATCACAACTCTTGGTACTGAAGCAGACAAAATTGTAGATCCACTACAACTACTGCGGGCTACTAATGGAATTGTTGGGGTTGGTACTTATTACAATGATCTACTATATTTCTTTTTTGAAATTAAGTAAAATAAGCCGGCACTGAAAGTTTTTCTCCTCTTAACTAAACATTGTGTTTGCAGCCAATAGTTGATGTCTTTTCGCTTCTGGCAATTGCTACTTCTTATATCGGATTTGTCTTGGGCCTTGTGGACTTTCTTGCTGACTGTGAGTGACTTGGCTCAGTAATCATCTAATTTATGTTCATGTACTATTTTCAGGGCTTTTCTGTTAGCGAAACTTGGTTTGCAGTTAGTATAGTTGCGAATGATTGTCTTGCATAAAATCTTCATCTTTTTTTTTTGGTTCACTATTTATTGGAAAGCACTTGTATTTTTTGTACCACAATTGCCTGATTATGTTCATCATTTGTAATTAGTTTAAAACATTCCTCCGCTGGTTCTTCACCATTACTTAAGCGCTTTCAATCGAAGGTGATTAATGTATTTAACCAATTAAAACAATGTAAAAGTTGTACCTTCATTCTCAAGCGGGAAGTTTGTGGAACTAAGGTGGAAGGATGGTGTGGTAATTTGAAATCTTAGAACATCTCTTTTATAAGAAAGTGATTACAACAGTGTCCTCTAGAAGCCAATGCTTATTAGCACAAAATGTAAAGTCCCTTTCAGTAATTACCAGACAACAGCTTTTTTAGCTTCGAGTATCTAGAAACAAAGAAAGGGGAGTGATTGAGATGTTGGTTGTCCACTTTAGCTTTGCTAGAGACAATTTGGTAATGAATGTCACTATCAGGAAGCCAAAAGGGCGTAAAACAGGAGGGTTTATTACCAGAGGAATCATTAACACATCTTCTATGCCCCTGAGTTCTCCGGGCGCTTATTTTACCGAGTTTGTTTCCCTTTTAGCTTCTCTTTGTGGAGTCGATGAACAAAATTATGCCTTAAAAATCTATTCACTCTTTGCTACCTTTCATAAACGGTTTTGAGCTAAACCTACTAGCAATGTTATTACCTTGTAGATTTCACTATGTTACATAAGTAATAAGTTTCCTTTTAGCACACTTTATGAGGTCTAACTTATGTTTTACTTTTGTCATTGAACTGCTGACAGTGCTGAAACTACCATCAGGTCCGAACAGGCCTCTGCCTTACCTACTTACTTTGGTGCCTCCCCTGATACTTTCACAGCTAGATCCAGAGATATTCTTCAAAGCATTGGATTTTGCTGGAACCTATGGAGGTACGGAGACTTACCTACAGTATAACTTTCTTTTACTATAACCGAGCAGTTGGAGAATAATATGTAAAACAGTGAGGAAAGATGGTGTACACAGTCTCATGAATTACATCAAAGCAAAGAAAACTGTATTTAGTATTAAATAATTCATTTCGTGGAATCCTTTTCTCTCTAGAAACAAAATACAAATGCTATCACATGCTGTTTGCATTGGAGTAACGAAAGGATACAGGGGATGAAGTTCAGTAATTTGGTTGCATATTGTGCACCCTTTGAGGATGGAGGCCTAGAGGTGGCGGTAGGAAAAGTATATAAAAAGTAAACAATAGGTCAATCGCCAATAGCTCCTTGACATGTAGAACTGGTAAGGTTGTGTACAGTAGGCCCAATGTGGTCTAGTCCTTCCTCAGACCCTACGCATAGTAGAATATTAGTGCATTGGGCTGCCCTTTGTTTTATGACTTTTTCGCTATTGCTAGCACCCGAAATTTTCAAAACTTCAATTTGGGACATAATGTAATGTGGCATCAGCCATCAGCTGCATATCGTTGTCCATCTATCTGTATGTTTATTCAATATCATTCTGAGCAATTTATATAATTCGTGTGCTTGTGGTTTTGTAGTTTTGGTGCTTTTCGGACTTCTTCCAGCTGCAATGTCCTGGTCCGACAGATATTCGGTATCAACTCAAACTCCAAACCTACCCCCGCTGGTTCCTGGAGGAAAGATCACTCTCTCACTTATTTTTGGAGGTGCAGCATTTGTCATTCTTTCAGAAATAATAGAGAACTTTGCACATGCATAGTTTTTGACAGGTGCTTATTTATGCTGTATCTGTCTCCAGTTCCCACATTATGTTTCTGCAAGTGCTAGCTAAATTAAGTCTATTACTACTTTTCTGTAGATGCAAGTGAAATTGTTGTGAATATGAGCACCTAGATAGAACAACATTGGAATGACGTTCTTTCATAGGTGTAATATCCAGACTTTATTATGGTGAAACTCTGAAGAAAGACATTATCAATTTATTTGACAACTTTTATTTGTTAAGGGATTCATGAAATGTTTTAATTTTAGCTGAATATCTTAGAAAATATACAGTAATTACTTTTTCTTTTTATACAGTCAACCCTCTCTATAACAACCTCGTTTGTTCCTATATTTTTTGGCTTTTATAGTGAATGACTGTTATACACCTATAACAACATTTGACGTTTAAATATTTTTTGGCTGTTATAGATAAAAATTATCCAAAAATTATTTTTTTTTACCTTTTTTCATGTTACATATAAAAGATAAGAAAATTATTCAAATTTAAAATATCAAAAGAATTGTATATTTCACTAGTTAAATATTGAAGAAAGCTAATACATTACTAATAAATTCATAACTAAAAATATAAAGATTTAAACTTTAAGGTAGACATTTTAAAGCTACCTAAAAACTAAAGATTGATGGAATAACTTTGTAATTGTAGCTTGTTTCATGTATTTCATTCTCTTACTAGCGATATTATGCTTGAATTGGTGAATATCGTGTCCAAATTTTCAGCAAGAAGGTATCCAATAGTTTTTCCTTAAAGATAATCTAAGAGCTTAACAGTTAAATTTTCTATCTAAATATTTTTTGGAAAATTGTCCAATGAAAAAGATATTATGTGCAAATCTTCAAATTTTATATCTTATGCAAGATAGAAACTTTATTTAATGGAAAAGATTGTGTGCATATTCTTAGAATTATTATTAGTAATTTTAAAGATCCTATATGGATGTTATAGAGAGGTAATTTTACGAAGAGTGATCTACTATAAATATGGTTGTTGCTATGATAGGTAAAAAATTGTTATAGATAGGTAAAATATAAACTTAAAAAATCGGTTATGAGAAAAAACTTGGCTTTTATATTGAATGGTTGCTATATAGGGACGCGGTTATAGAGAGGTCTGATTGTAATTGCACATCCGTACATATATCCTACAAATAACAACAAAATACCCAGTATTATCCTACGAATAAAAGGTTTAATTTTAATCTAGCCTACCTTCCGTTCCTGCAAGGGCATCCTGCTCACCCCAAACCCGAAAGAAATTTAAACTTGGACAAAGGGAGTAACTAATAAATAATTTTAGGTGATTTTATAAACGATAAATGAGCAATCATCTACATAACACATTTCCTCCAAAATCTCACTTTATAAAACATGCAGTTTGATAATCCTAATAATAATTAATAAGCGACAAACTAAAACACTTAGACATTTCATTATGGGAGATGTTCATAAAAGTATAACCCTTCTCTTGTTTCTCTCCATTAAAACTTGATTAAAAAGAAATTAGAAGGCCACTTACCTCTATTCCTTCTGTAAATGTCTTTTTGACCAATTTCTTCCTCATATTCCAAAATAATACCCAGACCTCACTTGTGGGAATATACTGGATATGTTGTTGTATATTCCAGAATGATACAACAGAAAATTACGAAACGGAAAAAAAAAAAAATTGTGGGGTGCAAGAGAGGAGGGAAGGCTGATTAAGTTGATAATTCTGGAGTGTAATCTACAGATATAAGCAAAAGGAGGCTGATTCTCAAGCAAGTCAGATGTGGAGGTGTTCAAGACTTATCTCTCATGCTCTCTCCAAATTTCGCATCCCGATACGAAGAAGACAATGTACATATAAAGCAGCAGCTATCCATAATGTGATATTGTACAAGATGTGTACAAAAAGTACAGAATCCTAAACGACAATGACCAAACCCATTTCACTTAATGTTATACATCCCAAAATTGAGCTCCCATAGCAGAAGTCATCCAATGGACCCTGAGCAATCTCAACAGAAATTAAGCTTTCTGGACAATCCAAATATAACCTGGAAGCACAATAGAAGAGACTGTTAATGAAGCAAATGTTTCTTTGGCAACACCAGATATGCAACCTAACTAGCTTAGCATTTCATATGAATGCTGAGATGAAAATCCTACACATGTTGCAGTAAGACGTGAACCTGGCAAAATCTAGCAGCACTACAAGACCTGAATACCAACACTTTCTTTCTCGTATTAAGATATTTAAGTTAGATTGATGCCTTACATTATTTTCAGAAACATCATATAAACACCATGAATCCACAACCCTCAATCCTCATCTTACGTAAGAGTAAACCGAGCATACAAAAGCTAGGGATTCACTAGCTAATCCACAATCATTGCCTCAGGACCCACAGTAACATCCTCGATTCCACTCTTGTTATGATCATCGACTACGTTCCTCATCTCTTCGACTAAACTCCTCTGCTCTTCCTCTATTGTGTTCTGCAACTCATCGACCTGAAACCAAAAAAAGGACATTCAGCAAAAGATATGAGCAACTTTCACCAATTAAGTTTTTCTCTAATGCGGATGAAGTACTACTAAAAAAGTTCTATGTACCTAAACAGAGTATTTCCAAACATGAAAAATCTCACATTCAACTTTTAACAGTGTTGTCAAAGACGAAAAAGTATTAAAAACTAAGATCGGCTAAAACGTTAAGTGCAACTAAAATGCACAAATGGGCTACACGAATGATATTCTATAACAGTTTGACCTATTACTTAGTGATATGAATCAGTTATCTCTGATGTATATAGTATACTTAGCAACTTTAAATCACTAACAGCAATCAATGCATTCCGAGCTAAAACTTCCTGAAGAAACCAAGAGCATTAACGGAAGGTAAGTCCGTAGCAAGATACGTACCACATGCAATAAAAGGGCAAACTGCTTTTTTCGAAGGTCCAATGTCCTTGAACTAGCAGTATTCTCTGCTTCCAACGCAGCTAAATCTTTCTCAAGCTCTGTTAAAACCTTCTGAGTTTCGGATCTTGGAGGTTGCATAGCAATCAACTTCCTGATCACCTCACCCTCTTCTTTATGCTTCCTTTCAACCTTGCTTTCTTCAAGTTGCCTCTTGAGATCTTCTATATCCGCCTGAGCTTGTAAAATCTGCACGTTGATTTCACCTTTCAGGTCGTTGAAATTCTCCTTTTCTCTAACATTTGCATCTATTACTGTTTTGCTCTTTAGGAGCGGAATCTCAAACGCATTAAGCTCTTGCAAGAATGCTTTAGCAAGTCTTTTACAATCTCCGTAGTTATCAGCTTCCTTCTCTATCTCCGAGGCAAAAGTAGTAAACTTCTTTTGGAGTTTCTTCAGTGGCGGTTCACCTCTAGTGGTGGTTGTCCGAGTCAGAAGTCTATGCTTAATAATTATCTCGTCTTCAAGTTGTCCAAATGCATAATGTGATGCCATTGTCTCCCCCTTCCCAGCAATCTTTCTACCTTTTATCGACATTTGTTTTGATTTTTCTATCCTGTAATAAACATCTCTCAGAAATTAGCATTTGATAGAATATAAAAGATCAACGACAGATTTAGCTTCCTTAGTAATGACCAGTGAGCTTTATTCTTAAAAAAAAAAGGGCAGCGGGAGATCTGAGGAAGGGCCAGACCACAAGGGTCTATTATATGCAGCCTTACCCCACATTTCTACAAGGGGCTATTTCCACGTCTCGAACCCGTGACGGCGTGACCTCCTGGTCAAATGGCAATAACTTTACCAGTTACGCCAAGGCTCCACCAGAGAACTATATTCTGTTTCTAGGAAATACAAGTAAAACATTCTAAGATGTTTGACATTATTCTACAAGCAATAATAGCTTATACAACTCTAACTTCTTTAAAAATCCATATTCATTTAAGGAATTCAACTTTAAGCAACTATATGATCTTTCCCGATCACAATAACTTAACTATTTGTTTTTATATTTTTTCTTTTATCCAAGCTAAAGCTAAATTACGACCGTGTCTTTTAAATCGCGTCACATAAAACAAACAATAGGAGTAAGAGTTCATTTCCTCCTTTTAATCAGTGTCCTTCATCTCGAGTAGAAGAACCAGGGTGGAGGTGCATATGACTAATCCTTGAAAGTTCCATTTGATGTAGCTAACTATATAAAAGATATCAATATATTCAAACTAAAAAAGTAAGATCTGTGCAAATATTTTCACTTATTTTACTGAACAACGAAAATCATCCCGAAACGGAAGATACAACTCTGGAAACAAACTTGAACGATAGAGTGGAAGGATACCCGAAAATGAAAAGAAGTAGCTGCTGGAAGAAGTGTCGCCGTCGCCGTAAAAAGTCGTCGTTTTCCGGCGGCTTTTACTTCTTCTCGAGAGCTCTGACGATTTAGGTTTTGGGTGTGGTTGGTCCTTAATGTTTACGGGTAGGACTAAAAGTGTTCACCTTCCTAAAACATTTGGACTATTTATGTTAAGGAGTACATATCAAGACCAAAATAGTCCCACCTCAATACATTAAGGACCATTTTGATTATTTTCTCAATAAGACCACAATGATTTACCATGGATAAATCATAAATATAGGTGAAAATATATATTAATTACTACGAGGAGTGATAAAAGTATATGTGAAGACATGTACTATATATATTCATTGGGTGTAATCATCGGTTGCGGCTTGCGAATGAGTTACTTTAACTTGATTAATTGAAAGCCTCTACAGGAAGTTACTTACAAGTTACGCGCGTGAACATCTACAATTTTAGTGTATTCATAACATTTTAGAGTTTGAGTTTGAGCAACCGGTCTAGGAAGCATCTTGGTGAATCGCATATCTTTTTGTGTGAATCATTTTTTATTTATGTTTTTGGTGCATGTTATTTAGAAAAATTAGGTTATGTTTTTGTAGAGTTTGCTTCAGGTACTTCATAGGAGTAGTTCTTTTGGTTGTATCGAGTACTTGACATATCGTTAAGCTTTGACTATGAGTTATATTTTAGATTTCATTGAATGTTTTGAGATTAAGTTATGAAATGCAATATTGAATCTAATTGACTCCAGGTTGTAGGATATGAGTCAAAATGATGACGGACGAGATAATATATATAGCATAGGTCCAAACAATCCCCAATATTACTCTGCAACATATTTTTTCATATGAGCAACTAAATGTCATACTATTCAGAGGGGCATTAATGTCGACAGCAATGGATTTAGTCATAATAAAGCAACCGAAATGGCATAAAAGAACATACACCAACAACATCTTCCAGATTAGATGAGATAAGATCAGAAATTATGTTTGCAAGTACAAACAACAATAATATTAATAATTAAAATAATATTAACCAGCTTAATTTATATATTTTTTTATATCTATAGGTTCAAATGATATTTAGTTCTCCTAAGAGTTAGGACAATATACAAGTTGAAATTGAAACAAGAGAATTAAAAGAAAACTAATATGTGAGAATAGGCATGCTTGGACTTAGGGGTGTTTATGGTTCGGTTTGGTCGGTTTTTATTAAAATCAAAATCAAACCAATTTAATCGGTTTTTAAAATTTTAAAACCAAAATCAAACCAAATTAAATACAAACTATCGGTTTGGTTGTTGTTGGTTTGGTTCAGGTTTTCGGTTCTTAATAAGCTAATGATAAATCGATAATAGTCAAATGACACTATACAACAATATTTTAAGTACTACTAAAGCATAAATTCAAATACCTACAGTGATAGTTCTTTTAACTATTTATATTTGAAACTGTAGCATATAATATAAAGCAGAGTATTAAAATTGTAGCAATAATATAAGATAGAAAACTGTATCGGGTGAACTAAGTTGCAGTACATGATAGAATCAAAAGAACAAGCCAAAATAAAGGTTCCAAAGTACAAACAACTTTGTCCATTTAAAAGTAAAAATTATGTATTTAAACTAAAAAAAGAATGAGAGAATCCATAATATCATATTCACTTCTACTTTTTTTCTTCATAAAGATCACTTTCGCAGCTGCTTCCATCATCGTCCTTAGCTTAAGCTCCAAACTAGTCAATGCTCAAAGCAGTATCTGGATATTCTGAAAAAAGAATTATCATACAAGGCATTACTCTTCAACAACAACTTTAGCCCGTAGTCTTGCAATTTGAGTAGCCGTAGGATTAGAGAATTTGAGTCTCTTAAGGAAAAGAAATTGGCCAATTCCTATTACTTTGGGCTTAGGCAATCTTTTAAGATATAAGTAGAATAAATCAAAATCTATATATAATAATTAAAATACAGAAAATATTTAAAATTATTTACAAAAAGATATGATACTTTATATAAATAGTTATCAAATTTTATATATAATTTATTGGTTTGATTTATTTATTTTTCAGTTTTTTATAATAGAACCAAAACCAAACCAAATATTATGGGTTTCTAAAATTTAAAACCAAAACCAATCCAAATAGAGAAAAATATAGATTTACTTAATCAGTTTGGTTTGATTTTTTTGTCAAACCATGAACAGCCCTACTTGTTGGACTTTGCTTCACTTGAAAATAAAATTAAAAAGTAAAAACCATAGAAAATATTTGAAAGCTCCAAAAACAGTAGTCAGACATATAAGTCAAAAAGAAAAAGAATACTAGGATTAACTTGATTCTCAATTCCACACAACTTTGACAGCAAGATATAGAGAGTAACAGTGAAGGAACTTAAATACCCATTCTCACAACTAAACACAGTTGAACAGAAGATGGAGGAGTAAAATGCTAGAAGGGACAAATATAAAGTATCAGAACGCAAAAACTAGCAAAATTACAGCCTGAACAAGGCTCAAGCCAGATAGACATTTCCCTGTTGTATTGAACTTAAATTTTGTTGAAGGCAACAATATCACAGCTCTGCACGTATTCATTGATAGGCTCTACTGTTAGTTGTTCCTCAACGAGAGTGTCCACCGAGACAAGGTCATCCACGATGGTAAGCATGATCTGCAATTTCTTAATCCCGTAGCCAACTGGGACCAATTTGGCTGTCAAAGAGACGGCAAGAACAGATTTGTCAGTAACCAAACGCTAATATATAATCAGTTAGAGCACGGTTAAAGAGTGCAATGGAAATAATAAGTCATACATGCTCCCCAAGTAAGCCCTTCTTGCTGAACACTGCGAACAGCCTCCTCCAGTTTCTTCATGTCAGTTTCATCATCCCAAGGCTTAACGTCCAAAAGAATGGATGACTTTCCACCTGCAAAAAAAGAAAACAGAATTAAGCTGATTGAAGATTTACTTGAGCTAAAATATATTTTCCTTCTATATTCCAGTTCTGATATGTTATGCATTTTCCACTTCAGCTTCTTATCTTCCTTTTTTATTCTGGCAATCACTTTATAAGGGAAATGTCTTGCACATATCAAAGTAATTGAGCATTGTATTATTATGAAAAGCAATTGAGAAGGAAATGTCAAAGCTCACTCTCTTTCTTCTTGGTAGATGCCTTAGTAGCCTCCCTTGCTTCTGCTGCCTTCTTTTCCTCCTCTGTCTCTTCTCCAAAGAGATCAATATCATCATCATCGTCATCATCGGCAGCCTGCAGACATCCTAAGTGTCAAACTACACTTGAGCATAGACAAAATCAACAGTTCCCTACTAAATGAATGAACACTACCCACTATAACGGTCCTACATGATAAAGTAAATCAGTCAACTAAAGAGTAAGAGTGGCAGGTCAAAGCTCTTGGAACGTGACTCCTGAGCAGTGCAGCTGGTACATACTTTATTTAGTTTGTATGAATTATGTGTTTTTAAAATATGCATACCATATACAAGGAGGTCTTCAAAAACAAAGAGCTCATACAAACACATCCTTAGATGTCTGACTACAAAATAGGAAGACAGTATAAGAGATCTTACATGGTAGTTTTCAGAAAAATAGAGTCAATTTAATTTTATGTACTATATATTGTCATATCCTTTGATGAACTGCCTTGAAATCTACAAACCCTTCAAGGTAATTTTGACTAGTTTGTTTTTGGTTTGATGTACTGGGTGCCACTGTAGTGGAAGTCATCTCACTGCCTCATCAATATTATCCTCTTCTTTTTTATTATTTTCCATTAAATTCAACACATCTCTAAAAATATTGTCCAGAAAAGGGAAAAGACATTTAAAGCTAAGGGCTCTTTAAATAGAAAAGACGCCTGACACGATAAAGGGTTAATATGGTTTGATCCCATTTAGACCTAAAGGCCCAAAAGTTATTTTATTTACACCAAGGCCACGGGTTGTTTAAACAACCACAAGTTGTTTAAACTAAAACAACCAATCAGAGGTTATTTGTGGTTTGTTTAAACAGGCTGTGATTGTTTAAACAACCACATTTTTCATACTAACCAACCACATGTTATTTAGGGTTGTTTAAACCATTCTCTCACCTCCCCAAATCCCACCCTTCTTCCTCTCACAGTTCAAAATAAGGAAGGAGAGGAAGGAAGAGAGAAGAAGAAGAAGAAAAGGAGCCCGAAGAAGAGGATGATGAGGAAGGAGAGGAGAAAGAATGGGAATTTCAAATTTGAGATTTTATGTAGGGAAGTGAGATATTCTTTTTCGGAAAGTTTGGTTATCCTCATATATAATAAGATCTCATTACTCAACACCTAATACCACAAATTTGAAATCCCCAAACCCGCCATTCCCTCTCTCCTCTTCTTCTTCTTCTTCTTCCTCTTTCTCTTTCTCTTCTTTTATAAAAGGCCCTCACAACCAAATCGGAAATGAGGAGAACCATTGACAATGGCCATCACCAGGAACAACCTCACTGGCGACCACATGTATCCACCACATCTCTTTTTACTGAAATTTGGCTATCTTTTGAAAATTTTAACCTTTTCTTCTTTTCTTTGGTTGGTCGAATCCTATTTTTCAAGATTTTTGCAGATATGATAGTTTATTAAACAACCACGGGTAGTTTAAACAACCCTAAACAACTCATGGTTGTTTACTCCTTGGTTTGTTTAAACAGCATTTGGCTTCTTATACAAAGAATGTGTGTTTGCATATTACTTGTATGAAACAAACTATAGGGTTTAAATAACTTGTGTTGTTTTAGTATAAATAAAAAAACTAGGGTTATTCAAGACAATGTGTGGCTGTTTGTACAAAAATAGGAGAGCTGAAAAACTAGGGGTTTCCTTTCTTGGTAGAGTGTTGGCTTCCGTATCTATAGGCCTTTGTGTAGATAAAAGAAACTCCTGGGGCCTTTTAAAATATGTAGTCAAACCTCATAAGCCTTTAATCCTAAAAGTGTCTCTTTACTTTATGAAAAAAAACTTAGAAGTCCTTTTCTCTTAAAGACTCAAGTGTCTCTTTAAATTAAAGTCCGCTAATTACTTCTAGATCGAAACAAGGTCTTTTTTCTTTTTAAAAAACTTTAAGGGGTCTTTTTCACCAACTGTTCTCAT